TGACAGGCCCTGCCAGGCTTTCAGTCTGGCAACCGTTTTAGGGCCTGTAGGGCCTGAACTCGGTTGTCAGGCTGAAATGTCTCCGGGGCCTGTAAGCCCTAAGTTTTAGGCTTCAGTCTGGCAACCGTTTTAGGGCCTGTAGGGCCTGAATTCGGTTGTCAGGCTGAAATGTCTCCGGGGCCTGTAAGCCCTAAGTTTTAGGCTTTTAGGCTGACTGTCTGGGACGGGCCCTGTAGGGCCCGTGTGGCTACGCAGTATGCCACATCGGGCCTTTAGGCCCTGGTGTGTCCTTCCGGCCCTAAGTCGGGTCCGGTAGGACCCGTGTGACTCGGAGATGTAACAGAGTATCCCTGGGGAGCTATGGTATGGGAAGTGGGTTTGGTTGTAGCAGTCCCCCCCTTGATAGGCACCCAGGGCCGCAAGGGTAAGGCTTTCCTCTTCTCTTACAATCGAACTGTACTTTGGTTTTCAGGCTTGCCGGTGATAAGCAACCGGACTGATGCCCCCCAGAATAGAAGAGGCTGTTTTATTTTGTTAAAAAAAAAAACAAAAAAAAAAACAAGTGTGATGTCTGCATACTCCGCACTTTCTTTTTTTGACCTGAGTCCTGTGTTGGGACCCTCAAGTGTGATGTCTGCATACTCCGCACTTTCTTTAGTTGTAGGCAGCCCAGGAAAGGGAACGTTTGAAGTTAGGAGTTTTCATTTCTGGTGCTTCCATGTTCTGTTGGGCCCAGCAAAATCCTCTCCTTTTCGTGACCATCGTGTTGCCCCAGCATTCCTGCGACTGCTCACTGTGTAATACTGACAAAAAAAACGATTGGGTGGCTGAATGTCTCTGTTGCAGGTCACAGAGCATCTAAATGTTTGCCATCGGGGAAGCAAAAGAGCACAAAAGGAGTGCAATGAACTGTACTTGTTATATTATCTGGCAAGGAATGCACGTGCGGAAGAAGCTTTGGTAAGGATCTCATAAAGGATTATGCAGGGTCACTCGTAGAAGATTCCGTAGTTAGTGTTCATGGCAGAGAGCACTCTCTGCATATTGCAGGAAATAGACTGCTGTGGCAGCAATGGTGTCATGCAAATTGTCAATGGTTTGAACTTCAAATTCTCAATGGTTTGAACTTTTAACCCTTATGCACAGAGTCGCAAATGGGTTTAATCCATGGTTACCCCAGGCCCGGACCCAGACACAGTGGGATTACAGACAGGGGGTGAATTAGGCCATACCTACCTCAAGGCAGTATCCAGCCTGTGCACATCTCTCTCTCTCTCTCTCTCTCTCTCTCTCTCTCTCTCCCCTGGCCCTCTTTGGCTTTCTGAAAGGGCCAGAAAATAGTTAAAAAATACCACAACAATTTTTTGGGGGGTAGGCCTTGAACAACCCAAAAAAAAAGATTTTTCTTTCTATAATTGCACACCTGCCGGACCGGACGTCCGCCCGGATATCCAGACGCGGACGGTCCGGACTGGGATCCGGACGTCCAGATCGTAACCATGAATTTAATGTTGGCATGTCAAGGAGACATTGGAAGAATTCTTGGATGCCCATGCTTTATGTATGGTTTACAGTTCACTGCTCCGTTCCAACGCGCAACACGTTTTGAAAGCTTCTCGTGTAGGGTTCCTTCCTCCCTCCTCTCTCGTCCCCCGCCCCCCGACCTGACCTTCTCTCTCCCTTCTCAAGAGTTGTACAAATCTAAGCTTCACAGTGCTAAAACTTCTGTTCTGCAAAAGGAGCCAGGGTCTGGGGGATGTGGCATACCCCTTCCCTCCCCACCCCCTGTGGTTGCTACCTTTGTCAGCCATTTGAAACGGTATTCACCTATTAGCAGTAGCGGATGCAGATCCCAGGGCTCGACCCCGAGAGTTGAACCCGTGACCTGTGTATTAGCAGTAGTTGGTAGGCTGTCGTAGGTCCGTAGGTTGTAGGGGTTCGATCTGGAGACCTGTCGTTTGTAGGTCTTAGCAGGTCCTAGGAGTCATAGCTGTAGCTCCTCCGAAGGGTCAAAGTCGTAGCTGCTACAGTCCTGAAAGGTCAAGGTCGTAGCTGCTGCGGTACCGAAAGGCCAAGTCTACGACCTTCCAGAAGGTCCGGAAGTGGCCTTTCGGAGCTTGCTCACGTTTAGGCAGAGGCAAGTGGGCAAGTGGCGAGGCCAACTGCAGTACGTCGGCAGTGCGACTGCGGTGAGTTGGCAATGTGTCCCCATGCAGTCAGCAGTATCAGTCCCAGTCAGTCAGGGTCCAGTCAAGCAAGTACCGTGCGCGACTGTGTGCACCCAGGGCATGGGAAAGGGGCAGACCAACGAACTACAGAAGTATAAATCAAGAGGCAGCGACCAGCCATTCATTCATTCCTGCGGAAGCCATGCGGAAGCGCTGCCACAGCGATTTGTGCGAGGTGGTCTGTAGTATGCCCGAAGACGAAGTGGGCCGAAGGAGAGTTTAGCCATAGTGGTGGAGGTAGAAGCGGCCATAGCTGCCATAGCTGGAGGAGGAGTGTAGCATGTGTGTGCGTGTGTGTACAGTGAGTTGCGTGTGGGATATCCAGGGTGATCCTGTGTGTGAACAGCGGCGTTGGGACGCAGTAGTGAACAGAGAGTTGTGCAGGCGCTGATGCGCCATGGCCTGTCGAAGCGAACTTGTATCTGAACTGTGTTGATGACCTCCATATCTCTAAGCTTTGAGTGGACGTTTGTCACCAGTTTGCTGTGCTGCCTGTTCACATGTATGTGAAGTGTGGAAGAAAGTGAGTCTGATTGCACATTCTATAGCAGGATTCTAACCTTGCTTTGCTCCTGTTTGTATCAGGTGACAGGCATTCACGAGAATGGTTTGTCAGTTTTTATCCCGAAGTACGATCTGCGGGGTCCTGCCTACCTCAAGGTACCCTGATCATACTTCAGCTTTACCCTACAGACTCTAGTACACAGAGAAATTCCGATGCCTTTGTTCTCTTTTATTGGATATATTAGGCTCGTCCCAATGTTATTGATTTTTTTTTTTTTTTTTTTTTTTTTTTTTTT